GCTAGGACCGCCACTGTTTGAACCAATACCAAACTGAAAGAGCAGGGACACAACTGGGGAGACAAAGGTAAATAAACATGGAGACAAGGCTAACTTCCACGGGAGACCCTGAGGACAAGACACAGAGACAAAAACAAAGACACAAAAGGAAACTAACAATATCAAACAAGAACCAGACATAACCTCAGAGACACTCGGAAGAACTAAACTTGAGACTAAGCGGTAGAAGAATCATGAGTCCATAACAAAACTTGATTTTGGACTTTGACACTTGAGCCTTTGTATGGACATATCTTTGAAAAGGTAATTAAAAAAAACAAGATCAGAAGCTCTGATCTCTTATGCTGTTTACAGATGTAGATTGGTTAACCAGTTCGGGGCAGATCAGGTGTAGAGATTTGTCTTTCTACCTAAAAAACACATTTAAACAACTCATCTTCAATCTCTCTTTCCAGATATCACCCAGTTCTTTAAAAATTGTCTGAATGGTTGGGATAAAAAGTACTACACGCCAGAAGATAAAATATGCATATCTGATTTTGGAGGGAACCGTTACTTCAAGGTGGAAGCAAATGGAGTAGAAACACTGGTTTTCAGGCTTGTAATAAGTCACTCTTCATCAGTTTGTGCTTTCTGATCGGGTGCTGCTGGCTGAAGACAGAACGCTGAATAATCACAGAGCTTTCCCCTCCTCAGCTTCATATTAGAGAAAAGAAATTCAATCAGAGGCAGAAATGGGAAATAAAAGCGTTTTCTGTGCCTCCTGGATGAGTTTCAGATTTATGTCTTACACACATAACGGGATAACTGTCACGGTTGCGCATTAGTTTCAGACTTTAACTGTTTGCATACCCACAAGGTCACCGTTAGTGTGGCATGCTCACAGGAGGAGAGATTAAAAACACACGTAAAAGACGGACGTATCAGTCGTTAAAAGAATTCAAAGGAATCAAACAACTGTCAGTATGAATGAGCAGCAGTTTTAGATCTATTTGGTAACCATCCATGCAGTTTCTTTGGACCTGTGCAAATGTTTGAAGGTGATTTTGATGGTTACATTTAACCCGTCCGAGACTGAACCTGGATTTAACTAAGCAAACACAGATGACGGTCAAACTATAGAAAGTTTTTGAAAATGAAAGAGCAATAGAAAAATAACTTTTGAAGCACATATGACAACTTTGAGTTTTAAGATGTGTTCTTACAAACAAAAAACCCCCAAAAAAACATTTTAAAGACAAAAGCACTGATTTTATGTGCCGATGAGTTTCTGAAATAGTTTGGAAGGGAACCAGGACACAAAGCTGCAGACGCTTCTCTGTGCTGTGCTCAGAACTTTCTCTTGTCATCTCGAAATAAACCCCATCTCAGGAGAGCTGCATGCGCTCCCCGATTCTCTCCGACTCCGCGTTCAAACCGTCATTGAAAACATTTGTTTCTGGCTAAATGAGCAGGCTTGTGTCCAGGCTGCTCCAAAGGCTAATTAAAAGCTCATCACCAAACAAACCCAAAGGCACTAAAATGGCTCTCACGCGGAGCCGCGCCGTCCTGTTGGCGTCATTTAATGCACGGGAAGCCGAGCAAAGAAAGAGAGCGAGCGCGCGTCGGAGCGCCGGCACATTTGGCAACGACGTCACTTAAAGTTTTGTTGGAGCAGATGGCGCTTTGGCTCCAAATTTGGCAGCAGGCATCAAAAAAAAAGAAAAGAAAAGAAAAGAAAAAAGAAAAAGAGGAAGAAATAAAACAAGATTTTGATTCCTGTAAGCTGAGAATACACTCAGAGACGACACAGGCATACAAAGGGAGAAACAGGAGTCAGAGCAAAAGAACCACTGAAGGTGGACTCAGATGGTTGAGACTAAGAGAAATCCAGAAATATCTGAAGTATCAAAAAAGACTGAAAATATCAAAACATTTTAATTTGCTTAATTTTCACGTTTATTTCTTATTTATTGTTATTTATTTATTCAGAGGTCTGTGTGCCCTTTTAGGGATTTGTCTTGATTTGTGTTGATGTCTGATTGCCTGATCAAGGATGATTATCTCCTGTGGGAGATGCAGTTATCTTACATCTGATGTTCATTTCTCTGTATATACAACGCTCAAAAAATTTCATGAATGCACTGAAAACACATCTGATATGAATGGGGAAAAAAATCATGCTGGATATCTATAGTGGTACGAGCTGGGCAATGTGTCAGGAGGGAAAGGATGCCTCATCGTTTAATGGGTGAATTTAAAGATACCTCAAAATGAAAAGATGATGTGGCAGGGTACTCTATTTTGATGAAATTTCATGGCAGCAGTTCAAGATGGTACTCAGTAGTTTGTATGCATGCCTGACCACATAGATGGTGTCCTGGGGGTTCTTCGCCCAGACCTGGAAGCAGGGCACCACTGACCTCATGGACAGTCTGAGGGGACTGGATGGACCAAAGATCAAAAGGTGTTCTTTTGGATTTAGGTCAGGTGAGTGTAACAGCCAGTTTCTTCATCCCACAGGAACTGCCTGCAAACCCTTGTGTGGTATGAGGCCGGGCTTGGTCATGCACCAGGAGGAACCCAGAACCCACTGCACCAGCATAGCACTCCTGACAGTCGGTCTAAGAACTTCATCCCGATACCTAATGGCAGTCAGGGTGCCGTTGCCTAGTCTGTAGATGTCTGTAGGTCCCTCCATTAATATGCCTCCCCAGACCATCACTGACCCACCACCAAACCGGTCATGCTGAACGATGTTACAGGCAGCATAACGTTCTTCACAGGTTCTCCAGACCCTTTCACATCTGTCGCATGTGCGCCGTGTGAACTTGCTCTCATCTGTGAAAAGCACAGGTCACCAGTAGTGAACCTACCAACTCTGGCATTCTATGGTAAATGCCAATTGGGCTCCACGGTGCCAAGCAGTTAGCACAGGGCCCATAAGAGCATGTCAGACCTTCAGGCCACCCTCATGAAGTCTGTTTCTGATTGTTTGGTCAGAGACATACTCACCAGCGGCCTGCTGCAGGTCATTTTGTATCTCTGGCAGTGCTCCTGTTCCTCCTTACACAAGGGAGCAGATGCTGGTCCAGCTGATGGATTAAGGGCATTGTACGGCCCTGTAACTGCCTGTCTCCTCCATGCTCTTTAGACTGTGCTGGAAGACACAGCAAACCTGGCAATGCCATGACTCCACCAGGAAGTCGGCCTACCTGTGCAGCCTCTGTAGGGTCCAGGTATCTCCCCATGCTACAGTACCAATAGTGACCCTGATGCTGGTAAATGCAAAACTAGTGAAAAAATGAATAAACAAACAAAGAAAACCTATAAAAGATGAGAGAAAACCATTCATGTTGTGGGGAGTGTGTCATGAACCAGAATGTTCATGACACACTATCCTGTGTGCCTATCCTCTGAAGCCTGTTAGCATATTTATTGTTATACTGCTTTTCACCCACATCAGTACTTCCCTGCACAGGGAAGGAGGCGTTACAATTACTGAGATCAGCAGCAGACTGATCTGACTGAGGTTTAGAGTCTATAAATATGTGATGATGACACGACTAACATATTTTACAGCAGTGAAGCAGAAGTTCTAACTGAATGATGCAGAGAAGGGCCGTCAGGTTAGGCAGGATCCTTTCACTCTTCCACTCAAGAGAGTGTCTGTTCCTCTCTATCAGCCCGTCCCAGCAGCTGCACCATTACTTGCAAAGAAAGCAAACTGTGAACTTCATAACAGATGTTTCCTGATCCCCCTCCCCCCCGCCCAACAACAGTGTCACCTCTGCTGTCAAGGGATGAAGACCGCTGAAAGTCAGTTTCTGATTTGACTGTTTGTCCTGTAGATGCATCTCCTCTAACCCTCCCCTTAAAAACTGCACTCTGGACAATCCAAACACTTTTTGAGACAGCTGCCTGTCACTGTCATATAGGAATGTCAGTCTTACTAAACATGCTCATTCTGCTGGCACTTCTGGGGAACACTTAGTTTTATTTTACCTCTTTTAGTTTTAGAGTGTTCTGTTTTGCTAACTTTAATAATGTCGATGTGCAGCATAAAAGGTGTGGATCACTGTGCAGAGAAAAGCACCAGTGTTCATGTTTGCAAACTGGAACCAGCTTTTACTCTATTAAATTGATGTTTTAAAATTAACGGGTGATTAGACTTGCTAGTATTTCAACGGATTAAGATATAATTCTTTCTGCACCGTATACAATGAAATCCCTTTAATCCTGTCTAAATAGCTTGTCCTGTCCCCGACTGGAACTCTTAATGGGTTCTTCCTGATGTTTTTTGGACAGGATCAACATTAATTAGGTCTCAGCACAGCTGTTTTTGAAACCTTTAGACACGGCAGCAGCGACTGAGTCATATCTGTGACGTTTGTCTGGTTATTTTTACCCAGACATACTGCCCAGCATGTATCATCCCCTTACCTCCACCTTGACCCTGTTGTCTCCGTAGCACAGGTGCTGCAGGTAGGCGGCGGCGTTGGCTTGGACAGAGGGGAAGTGATGCTGCAGCATGTGGATGACCTCGGGCAGCTCGGGGTCACGCCAAGCAAACTCCCTGATGGGAAACAGAGAGAAAAGTCTCCATAAGGGTGGCTCACCTTCTACGCTCAGCCATTTTTGGTTTATTTGTGCGGTTTTGTAGCATCTTGGATTCATTATAACACTTCTGACATTTTTTTTTAATGTTTAGCTATTTTCTATTTTCAGAGGATTTATCCTTTTGATTGCCTGATATTTAACAAGTAAATCAGCAAATAAGCAAACAAACTAGGATGACTGAGCAGAGCATTGGATGGTGCTGAAGACATTCCCACGTATATTGCAAGCATCTACTATGGGTTTTAGCAATTTTGTAAAAATAAACACTCTTTGTCAAGTAACAGAATTTGAATAAATTGAATACCCACTCTGTGACCACCTACATCACTGTGTAAAAGTTTGAGTGATTTGTGTCTTTGTATTGCTCATCATCAGCAAAAACGGGGGCCAAATTAATTCAGTGAGCTCAAACAGCCAGACTCCAAAAACAAAAAATCTACGGCCAAGAGATGAAAAAGAAGTCCTGCAGCAGATGGCGAGGCCCCAACAGAGGCCTGCAGACAACACAGAGACAGCCTAAACCCCCCCAAAATAAAGACTGTGGCAAGCTCTCTCACATTAATACACCAGTATACATGCTAATTAAACTGTATTGTACTGAGAAGAACTGGTGGTCGGAGACTTTGAGTACCTGGGGTCCTTGTGGATGCTCTCGATGGACGGGGTTCGGGTGACCACCTGGTCCACCAGTCCAGAGTGCCTGTGTGAGTAGACGGGCTCGCCGGGAACCCTGAAGGAGTCGACGTATACAGCTGCAGAGCTCAGCCCATAGCTGCTTCTTTGGTACGGCAGCGTGTTGCAATGGCTTGTGGTCCGAGGGAGAGTCCCCATTCCTAAGAAAATTAGGAAATTTAATCTGTGCTTTCTTTCATTCGCGATCAAGGATGTGTTTCTGGAGGCAGTTTACATCGTCAAAATGCCTCCAAGGTCACATAAAAGAGAAAGTAATATTCTACATTAAGTGCTTCAGCAGGCAGGGAGACGAGTCTCAGGCCAAACCTGTTTAAATCTTGACTAAACAAAACTAAAATGGCTCCTTAGATCCTCCACTATCAAACTCTACAGAGCTTTCAGCCTTAAATCATTCAGCAAAGACTTCAATTAAGAAGCTGCCGAGTACATGAAAGGTTTCAGCCTAATTAAAGTTTGACCTCAGGGAGCGATAGTAATAACAGTTCCTGTGCCTGTAAACCACGATTTCCGCCACAGATTTTAAAGGAATAATTTCTAACCAGATGTGAAACTGAGCTCCATCTCAACCTGGGGAAACAAGAAAAAATAAAAACTGCGTCGTCTGAGTAACACTCTCATTTCAAAAAGACTGCTACCACAACCCAATACCACCACCAGCACTGCTACGGATATGATACAGATTTTCTGGGGCAGTTAGCATTTACTTCCTTTTGATTTCCAGTTAGATTTAGTGCTGAAATGTATTGATAATTCACAGTAAAACATAAATTTGATTTATTAGGACATAAAATTTGTTAATTTTATTTAAATAACCAACTGTCACATGCAGCTAGCAGAAATATTTCCTTATAAACAAGTCAAACTTCTGCTGATGTGCAGTACCTGTGTTTGTCCTGTAGAGGGAGCCCTGTGGGTCGTGGGTGGGGCTGTGGTACAGGGGGCTGTGGAAGGAGCGCTCGTCGAAAACGGGCGTCATGTGGCAGTCTGGAGACAACGCCGCCCTCAGCTCTGGATCAATTTGCCCGCTGTGACCGGCGTATGAGCTGTGGAGCCCTGCAAGTAGACAATTAAGCTTTTAAATAAACGTTATTTACACCACAGTAAACATAAAAATGTTTACCGAGGTGGCCTCCTCCATACTACACTCACAGAGGATGAGGAGACATCCTAATAGTGTTACCGGCAACTTTGTTAGGTACAACTGTTCATTAATGCCAAAGTCTTCTCAGCCAATCATATGGCAGCAACTTATTTAGGCATGCAAATATGGTCAAGTCACCCTTTATGGTGAATAAAGGTGATTTAAGCAACTTTGAATGTGGTACGATGGTTGGTCTGAATATTTCAGTAACTGCTGACTTACTGGGTTTTCCACCACACAACCATCTCTAAAGTTTACAACAAACAAAACATCCGGCGAGAAGCAGTTCTCTGGGAGAAAATCTCTTGTTGACGTCAGAGCTCAGAGGACGATGACCAGACTGCTTCATACTGAAGGCAACAGTAACTCAAATAACCACTCGATACAACCAAGATATGCAGAAGAGCATCTTCTACACCAGGTGTGTCCAACTCCAGTCCTCGAGAGCTACTTTCCTGCAGCTTTTAGATGCATCCCGACTCCAACACAGTTGAATCAAAGGGTTGGATTACCACTTCAGCATGCCATCAAGTTTGGCAAAGGCCCAGTAATAAGCTATTCTGTCGGAACAAGGATGCATCTAACAGCTGCAGGACAGTAGCTCTCGAGGACTGGAGTTGGACACCCCTGTTCTACAGCAACAGAAGACCGCATGGAGCACAGGAAACTGAGGATTCACACTGGCTCACCAAAACTGGATAGTAGACGATTGTAAAAATACTGCCCAGTCTGATGATTTTCAATTTCTGCTGCAACATTTGGATGGTAGCGTCACAATTTGGTGTAAAAAGCAGTAAAGCATCCTGCCTTCTGAAGGGTTCAGGCTGCTAGTGGGGTAATTGTGTGGGGGATATTTTCTTGGCACACTTAATACAAACTGAGCATCGTTTAATCACCACAGTCTACCTGAGTGTTGTTGCTGACTCTTTATGGCCTCAGTGTACCATGTTCTGATGGTACATCTCAAGGTACTCATGTCACTTGAGCTACTTCACATGTACTGTGTGCAGAAATACTGAAAAATGTGCAAGAAAACACAATGTCTAATATCTAAGAAAGAAAAAAGAAGCCCAGAGCTGCATGACACCAGCCTATCATGGTCACACATGAAATCGCCTCATTATCTGGCTCGCATGCTTGTCATCAACTTGTGAGACCGTGCCAATCCATACTGTTCAATACTCTGTATTTTAATTCACCAGAAACTGTTGTTGCGCCTATAAAATGCATGAAGACTCTGGTCATTCAAACCGTGCTGTAGGCTCAGACACCAGCAAGTCAAACAAGTAAAGCAGAGGGTTTTTCCATCCTCCAATCTCAGAGCAGATCAGTTCAAAGAGTGCTCCAATTATAAAGAAGCTTTAGGGCATGAGGGGGGCAGCCTCGGCGGATCAGTCCAACAGCTGAAGCACACAATTTGCACTTAAAGCTGGTGATGAAGGAGCCATTTACTTCTGCAGTTTGCCTCTCTCAATTTACATAAATGTCCTAGTGAAAGAGATGGGCGCTCTGATCTCACATGGCTGGATGCATTTCTGAAAGAAAATGAAAAAATGAAAAAAAGCCCTGTTCAATCTGGACCTCGGGGTCGTACTCGAGGGCTCTTCAATGGCCCATAAAGAGTGTGACCTTCAGGTTAGAGGATGCTAAAGCTACCAAATGTATGAAATGTGCTAGAACGACACAGAATCAGGTTTCAAGGGGTTCGCAAAGGCTTTTATCAAACATCGAGCACTGCAGCAGCTCCTAATCTGGAGATTACTACACTATTAATAATATAAAGACGACTGTGTCCTGTGTATAATTTATTACAGCTAAACTGTCAATGTCAAGGCTGGTTTGCATTGTTATAACTAGAAACCAAAATAGAATCTGAATAATTCCGTCCTCAACCCGCTTATCTGGTGAATAATGTAACAATTTCTCTGAAAATTTCTTTTTATCCATTAAGGTTTAAGCTAGTAAACTGGTGTCAGCGGTTTACAGCCGTTTCTGTCAGTTACTCAGACTACTTTTCGATATCCCAACCATTTAAGCACTCTGAGACACACTTTCACACACTAATCTAAAACCTTTAAAGTCTCCAGTCCCGTGGAAACTTGATTCAGCAGCTTGTGAAGCCTTCTTCAGCTGCCACATCTTAAAGTAATGTAGTAACAGCTCAAGGATGTTTTTTTCTTTTTTTTGCCATTTTGTTGCAGATTTGCCGCTAGGCCTGGGATAACTGGGATTCATTCACTAATATTTTAGTAGAAATGTTCTTATCTTTCACAAAAAAATACATCTGTACCCAAAATTACCATCAGATTAATTAAACGTGCACACCTACCTATTTTATTCTTACCACAGCTGTATATGTGTGAATCAGACTGAATCTGAACCCACAGGCTTGTGCATCCTGCACACCACCATGCTCTCATCTCTCTAATTTAGGACAAATACATCCAATTCCAGGAGAAGCAGAGAAAATGGTGACGATGTTGCAAGGGAGAAGTCTGCACTGGCAACGCAAGAATAACGCAGAAGTCATTTTGAATAAATAAAATGAGACATGAGATGATGTGAGGTAAGGAATATTGGAGTATCTTTAAATGAAAAGCCTGCAGCTTTACATTTAGTGTTTTGTTGTCTTTACATGCATTTAGCACAAAATTTCTAATTCCCTAAAATTTCAGCCATCTATCGACAACTTAATTACCATTTCAAACAATCTTTTACGTTGAGCTTTTAAATCCAATCATTTTAAACAATTTTATACATTTTTATGCTACTTCTAAACCCAATTTCAGCCACTTACCCAATAATTTTAGCTAAAATGCTTATTCACGGCTTTAAACCACATTTTTAAGTTACTACAAATTTCTACAATATCAGCCATTTACCTACCTACCCATTACATTTAGTATCTATTTGAACAATTTACACATTTACATTATCCATATATGGTTTTACACTATTTCATCTGCTGTCATTAGATATCTGTCCATGTATGACTTTTAGCTAATTATGCTAAATCAGACATTGCGGATCAATCCTTGTTACATGAAAACAGATCCTTCCTGTATCTATTTTTCTGTTTTCAATCAAAAAGAGATCTGGGAAGACCAAAACTTAAAAATCTGAAGCATAATAATGACAGCGCTTATTGAAAAAATTATTTCCACAAAAAACAAACAAAAACCAGCTCATCTTGCAGTTGCATTCGTGTTTTGGAGGCACACCGGGTTTCAGTACCTAAGCCACGAGTTTCACTGATCAGTAATAGCCTAATCTTGTATATCCATCTATTGCTTATCTCACTCGTGTAATCTGGGATTACGCTGGATCTGCAGGATAACCGGGAATAAGGACTTAGGCGACGTATTAGGCCACTTAGCAGCACTGCAGGATGAAAACCAGTCAGCTAGAGAATAGAAGGCATTTTATTTAGTCCACTGATTCTGCCTCCTACCCACACACAGACATAACGCACAAGAAATCCTTCCATCCTGTTTTCACACATGCACAAACACAACAATAGCACAACACACAAGATGCACAAATGCATATTCATATTCTTGACACATATGCTCGAGCTGATGCACACAAAAACAGTGCAGAAGAAAACATATGAAGACTAGTACAATAAAGCCTTCCAGTGCAGTCAGCTGATAATCACATGCTGATGCTCCATGGGGCTTTGTGATAGAAACTCCCCTATATGGGTCAGTGGGAGCGGCTTAGTAAAGTGGCAGAGGGCAGGACGAGGCATAAATCTGTGTCGCTGCTGCAGCATCAGCAGCGCTTCTCCGACAGTAAATCCTCCACCGGCCTCGTGCAGGGAGGAAGCTGTCGATAACCAGTTAACAGGCAAGGAGCGGCTGCGTCCTAACGTTTCCAGAATACAAAGCTCACGTCCTTCAACATCACCACGGCCCCGGCGACAGAGTCAAACACGTCTAGTTCAAAGCCACTTTTGGGTCTGAAATGTGCTCCAAAGACGCCTCAAAGGCAGCTGTAAGCCAGGCTCATTGAACAGCCTGGCAGCAGTACAGAAATAATCCCTTCTCAAGTTTCTCAGCCAGCCTCGGCTGTCTCAACCAATCGGAGAGGCACAAAGTCAAAAGGTTGGCTCTCAACAGAAAGTCAGTCAGCTTCTCATCATCCACTTAGCGTTGCTATTAACTCTGTAGACTGACAGTAGCTGCTAATTTTGATGAGTGGTCAAACTAATTTCATCCCTCAAAGCTTCACAGTTCCCACAGTTCGCATAAAACAAAAGGAAATGTTTAGTGGCACTAAATGTGTTGACATTTCACCAGTTTTACTCTAAAGGTTCCCACTAAATGACATATTAAACACAAGCAGGTTATTTATCAGGCAAACAGGCCAACTTCTGTTCTCCATTTTATCTCATTTTCAGAATAAGCACAATGAAGATGTCAAAACTGACACACTGAGCTATAATTAATAATAAAAATAATCACGGCGGCATGCATGAATGACAGACTTGCAAACTCACCCTGACTGCAAATCCACTCCTAGCACCTCATTAGACAAACTGAACTCACCTGGAGGCCCGTGTGTTCGCCAGTCTCTCGTTAGGTGAGACCGAGCTGAAGCGGCGCTGCGGTGACTCAAGAGTGGACTGTAGTTAGTTCTAACAAAGGCTCTGTGGTGTGTACTCACACTGAAAAGTACTCACTGCTTAAAAATATATAAATACACGGTGAGCTGCCAGACATCAGAGCAGCTTGAGATGATGAAACAAAGGTAGAAGCGTCATCTTTCTATCCACCTAGAAATGGTTCAGTTTAGTTTCAGCCTCTTTCCAGGCCCACATTTAACAAGCTCAAATCTGTTATGTAGACTTCCCAGTCTTACAAGTTCAAACTGAGCAGAAAGGTGATCTAAGTGACTTTGAGCGTGGCAT